CTTTCACGATGTATACCTTGTCATATACAAATAAAATAAAGAAATGATGTTTACCTACTTAAAAAAAAAAAAAAAAAATTTTATATTTGATAAAATTTTTGTTAAGTTTATATAAAATTCTATTATAACCAAGAAATAATTATAAAAAAAAATTTCTAGACATATTATAAAATATCAAATACAAAAAAAAACAACAACAAATTTCACAATATACAAAAAAACAAAGAACATCAATACTAGCAAATAATAACAAACAATTCAACAATTAACAATACAAATCAAAATAAAAAACTAACTAATATTATTCTTCTATTATTTTTCAAAATTTATTTATATCTCCATAGGATAAAATAAATTATTAGAAAGACATTAGCCCCCAAAACTAAGTAGTTACTTTTTTTTTTTCTTGCCTCAAGGTTTTTTACCAGAAATATATTTAAAATAGTAACAGGCTATATAATAATGTATCTTAATATCTTAATATTAATCATGTAATATTATAATTACTCTATTAATAAAGATATGAGAAATGCCTCACTTAATATTCAAAAAAAAATAAAATTTTATTGTTTAATTTAACAATTTATATTTATTTAAATTACATATTATGTTATTATAATTTCAGTAAAATTATAAAAAAAAATTATTTTTGAAATAGAATTCATTATAATAAATAAGCTGATTTGATTTATTAAGATTAATTTACATAATAAAATAAAAACTTTTACATGAAATTATGATTATAAATCAATGCTAATAGTTTTGAAATTTTGTTTTTTGTCAATAGTATAAATTTATAAAATTTAATAAATAAGTAATTTAAAAACATAAAAAGCAAGATTGATTAAAAATAACAAGAATATTAATATTAAAATAAAAACAAAAAAAATACACATAAATGTAAACCATAAATGTTACTAATAAAATGTCATTAAAATTATCGAAACTTTCATTGTATATAGATTGAGTTATCTAGATTATACTTACTTAATACGCAAAAATAGATATGATTAATAAAATGAAGTCATTTTTTTTTTTAAAAAAAAATTAAAATTTCTTTACTGAGTGAACTGGGACCCCAGAAAATTTTGATGATCGTAACTACTGTACTTTCAGATCATATAGAATATTTTTCTTTTACTGAGAGGTGTTTATGCTGTGTGTTTTATCATAAGTCCGCTCTGCTATGTTTCATCAATAACCTCCTCATTAACGAATAAGTAATTTAGTTAGGGTCACCACGTCGTTTTTTAGAAATAAGTAAATAATAAATTTTAAATCGAATTTTTTTCTCAATCCAATTCTTCAACTATGACACAATATATGCTAAGCTCCCTCTGGAAATAATTATTTAATGATCACGGGTGATAGAGGGTTATCTCCGTGGAATGTGAGGTACAGTATTGTTCGAATCAATTAAAACAATTCAAAATTATTTTTTTTTTGCATCGGCAATGGCTTGGCTTAACCATTGGGGTTACATGATAATCGAGCAGTGGTAAGCAAAAAATGATGGAAGGTTACATTTCGGGATCTTGTAAAATCAAAAGGTTTTTGTGTCTTTGTTAAGAAATAAATATTTGCCGATGAATTTGAAAAGGTGTTTCCTTCCTTAGATAAAAAAAGAAATAAGGCAAAGATCGATGTTTTGCTATGATCTGGGAAATAGGTCATGTCATCATAATAGCTGTAGTACACGGAATTGGTGGATTTTTTAGGTTTCTTCTATAATTACAAAAAAGGAGCGCCAATAGATTTCTATTATCGATTGTTATTGTTAGCGAATGACCGGTTTTCGTTTCCATAAGCTAACAACTTGTTGGCGTTCATTTGTTTAAAAATTTGGTTTTATGAGGATGATAAAAAAAAAGCGTAATCTCGATTTCAATAATCGGAGCTTGAAAAGAATAATTCCAACACAGCGTTGACCCACTTAGATAGAGGAGGAAGATTGCTAATCATTCCTTTTCTCCTAAACTTCCGTTACTTTGTTTAAAGGAGCAGGTGAACATCCTCGTTTTTACAGATAGGTGAAGGTTGAAAAACCCGAATATACAAGGTGATACAGTAAAGTAAACAGGTGGAATTCAACTATTTTGTTAACCAATGAAACTATTTTGGTGATCTAGCTTTATCGAAACGAGTTTATTTACAGTAATTAGAGAAAAACGAGAAACAGTGCATTGTACATTTGCATGCATTTCAAGCTGTTTCTAATCAATTTGAAGCACCCCGAGAATAATTCACTTTAAGTTGTTGTTATTTAATTTTCATGGTGTAGAACCTCATAGTTTTATCCTTTGACCACTCAAATTATTTTATTTCTTAAAAAAACAATCATTTTCTCGAAATTTTTTCCTTTTTAAATTATTATTTTAGGAGCGAATGGAAATGCATGGTACCTGTACAAATTATTTCACCATGAAAATAGCCAAGCTGGAAAACGTATCATCGAGCATTATAAATAAAGAAATGTTCGTGCCAAATTATTCAGAATTCTCGTTGAGGACAAATATTCGTTCCAACGGAGGTTTTTTTTTCTCCATCTTAATTGTCTTTTATTAGGATTAGTCTTATCGCACCAATTGACAAGGTTGAAATAAAAACCGAGCCATGTCGACATTAACCTAATGATGTAATGGTTTTTTCGGCGTAAAGTTTTTGACTGTCAATATTCGGAAGATTGTTTGTTCAAAGCGCTAAAGACGAAAAAGAGGTGCCCTCGGTTACACCATGACTCATTTAAGGATGTAATCATTTTATTTTTTTGCTTCTTTTATATAAATCTTATCATATTTTTCTGTCTATGAATTTATGATTTTATTATATAACTTGTAAAGGATACATACAGTATAATAGACTTTGGTATGTACAAAAATATGATTATTCTGCAAATTTAAAAGCAACCTAATTATTATTGATTTAAAACATGCACCGAAAATAAATAATGACGGCAGCCTTTTTTTTTTTGTGTGTGTGCGTGTGCATAAAAATATTAAATCCATTTAACCTGTTGGAAAAATTCCCATAACTTGTTGGCTTTATTTACATCAATTCGGAGTAATTTTTGTGCATCGCTCTTGCGAAAAGGAAGTGATCGTCAAATGTAACGTTGGAGGGCTGATACCAAAGTTTATTTTAAGGTCAAGTATTGCACAGGAGTGAGACGTATTGTGGATACCACCATGAGCTCATTTGGGTGCAGGGCATTATAATGGGGTAAGTGAAAGATGGATAGGGGCTGACCTTTCCAAGTAATTTTTGGCGCGATGTCTTTTAACGTTCCATATCTAGTTGCATATTGTTAATATTTTCAAATAATTTTTCCCATTCCATCGGCGGTGGTGGCGAAAAGCGAACGGATTTTATTTCGCCGGTATTAGACGTATCAATGATGTCTCCAAGAGATCACGATCCATCATCACTCTGGATTGAGTAAAGATGTCAAGCTAAGTGTGATTCCTGGTGATGACTTGGAGGGAGATTTCATCGGATAATGATTCTTACGAGGACGACGATTCCGTGGTTCAGATGACTGTTGTTGGAGACTCACATGATTATTGTTGAGGTTGTGAATCTTGGTAGATTTGGTGACATTGCTAGCTTTAATTTTGACTTCGTTAGGCTTCTTTGTTTCCGAATTTTGCTCAAATCTAAGAGTTCGGTGGTGTATCTGATAGAAACATTCGAAATTATTTTTTGGGTTAGTAATTTTTCTGGTTGTGGTTGCTGGTTGCCGTGTTATGCTGACATCGTTTGCTTTCCTGTGTCACCTACATCGGTTAGCGAATTACTGTATCATGGAAGGAATTACATTCGAATGACTCGTTGAAGAGAGTGGTGGGGGCATCTCAGACGAGGCGGAAGGAATCCGTTGATGTGGATTTGTCATTATTTATGGTTTTCTCTAGGAAAGAAAGCATTAAAAATTTATTATTTTTTTTTCGACAAAAGAATTGGTTAAAAAATCTTTTTATGTAGCACTTCAAAGTTGAGCTGAAATTTACAGGAATTTTCCTTAAAAAAAAAGAAAATTATCCCTTTAAAAAAGAAAACTGCGGGAGACAAACGCCATCTTTTCCTTCTGTTAATTGTCAAAATAAGAAGCCTTGAAATAGAATACTGAATTGATACTGCTCAGTTACCGAAGAATTGATTCTCACGGGTCTTCTGAAGAGAAAATAAAATTGGAAGAAACGATCTTTAGATATAAAATTTTAATAATTCAACATAACATATTCGGATTAGCTTCACTAAAATAAAGTACTGTAATAACATCTTCAACTCGGATTTTTATACTGTAACAACAAGCCATTTATCAATTCCTCATCTCTTCAATACTTTTTTTTTGTTGGTATGAATGGTATGTGTGCGCATTCCTTTTCATTCGAGGTCTTAATACTATAATAACCTTTATTATCATGCAACGTTAACAAACTTTGTCCGCATATTTAAGGCCATCGGATTGAATGCTCTTATTTTCAAACAAGTTGCGTATCAATTTTGGCTCATCGTTGATTTATTGACCGAAAAGAAATTCCTCTTGCATGTTTTTTTTTCACTCTAGCCTAAAGTTAAATCGGATTGGCATACACTTTCAAAGTTAGTTCTAGTTCGAACATTAACGCAATCAAATTTTTGTTTTGATTATTATTAAGTTTTTTTTTTGACTTTTGAAAAATAAGGAGCCGCAGTGTTAGACGCGGTATTCTGAATTATTCTTAAAATTTACATGCATACACTCATTAAAATTGCTTAAAAGATAAATAATTTTTGACCTTCGAATATATTCAAGCAATTTGATATTAACATATGACAACAGATTTTCTTTTAATAAAATACGCAATAATTTAAAACTATATTTCAAACAATCACTTCCTAATTTATTAAATAAATTCTCGAGAGAAACGTGCTATTTAAATAAAGAAAAAATTTAATGATATTTGTTGTCATATTTAGAAGTAGAAGTGCGTTGCCTATTCTCTAGCATGTTTTTTTTTGTGACGAATGAGATACTACGTGTGGTGTAAGATTTTCAGCATCCTTCAACTTGACATGTACTGTATATGCTAAAAAAGTTATTTTCTAGTTAACTTACTGTACATCATCCTGGAGGTGGTAAATACATAATTTGTTAAGAACATTAGTCTTACGTCTTTCCCTTGTATGAGAGTTATAGTGGATTTTTAACGCGCTCGGAGATTGAAATGCTTTACCACAGAAGTTGCATTCATGTGGTTTGGTTAAAATAGAAACATTGATTTCAGTTTGATAAGATTTTAAGGTTAAAGCACCTATCGAGTTCATTAAATTTGCGTCGGTTAAATGACCCATTAGGACAGGGGATTTTAAATCATCAATATAAAAAACCCAGCCTTGATCTTCAATATAGAAGGTTTCTCCCTGACTATTTGTATAGTATAATCTGTAAACAACTTGACTATTCATAATAAAAGTGGTTTAAAGGAATGGAGATAAAATTTATTTGTCTATTGATTCAAGAATTAGGGCGTTTATATAGCATTTATAGTATATATTTCTGGCAGTGAGAGTATTAATTGAGACTACAGAAGAATGCCATTGGATTATGATACGCATTGAGGGTGCCATGCGATTTGGTACTACATAGCGCAGGAGAAATCCATTAGATTTAGTAAGCATTGAGGATAATAAGGATATTTATTTATTTTATTTATTTTGATTCAAAATCGAAGAGTCACCTAAAACAACTGTTGTAGCACCTGATCTTCTGTGAAATCTGTCACAACAGCGACGTATAATGACTGTCGCATGATAATAAGGTATAATTATTGAAAAAGAAAAGGATTCTAACGGATTACGACATCTTGTAAGATGGAAAAACTGTCTAAATAAGCTGTGGCCATCAAACATGATAAAAATTTATTTATTATTTTATTATTTATTATTATTTTTTTTTAATACGTAACGGTCAAAGCAAAAAAGGATAGATAAAGAATAGACGGTAGATTTCTTGTGTGTACTACCGCATGTTCCAATCATCTCATTTAATCTATGTTTGTATAGTATCGAATGGAATTTACAAATAAAAGAAAATCATTCTAATTACGTGCGAGAACAGGCAAACTTTTTGATCCTCACTATTAAATTATTTATTAAATATTTTGTTTAAAAAAAAATCAAATAAATAAAAGTGAACTATTTCTTTAAACATTTGCCTAAAAAATTGCGATTCCATATATATATTATTTATAATTTAATAATAACAAAGAATTAAATAATTAAATATCAAAAGTTATTAATTATTGTTATACTTATTTTTTAAAAATAAATAATAAAACTACATACAGTATATAATAATAATTTTATCTATTATTTTTTTAAAAAACATATACTTTTTTTTATAAAAAAATCAATTTAATTTGTTTTCGTAAAACAAAAAACAAGAAATACTATATCTGAAAGTATTTTTATTTCGAATTACTTAATGAGTTTTTCTCTTGATAAAATAATCGGGAATTTTTGTAATATAGCTTTCTAAATTAAATTTCATTTTTTTTTAAATAAAATAATAAAAGTTTAATATATTTATCGATATTTACAATATACAAATACAGTATGTAATGTCATAATATAATAATAATAAAATACATCTTTTAACCTATTCGTTCGTGTTCGTTTAAGATCTAACTGATGGTGGTTTCTAGCATACGTTTACCTTACATCCTAAAGCAGAAATTTGATGTACAGCCACACGGTTACACAGACATGCTTCCTTGGTTGAGCGGCTATAGAAATAGCCCACGCCCGCAAGAACAATAAGCTTGGTCAAATTATTCGGTTCTTGGAGGAAAAAATACATTTGGGCAAATATTTATCCATCGAAATCCTGCTCTTCAAACCTTTTCGAAGGCTATGCAAGCTTGGGAAAGACGTGATTTTAAAATTTTTATGTAACAAATGCATATTCATGCACTTTCCTTCCGCTTCTGATTTGGCATTGATCTTTCCTGCGTCGATCTTTTCGAACTTTGCCTACGATATTTAATGTCACGTGACAAATAAGTAAGTACGAAAAATTTAAAAGCATATTTCAAACAATCAAGAAAACACCTTAAATTATTAAATAAATTCCTAAAGAATTTGTATCATTAAAATAAGAATCTAATTATGTTTTTTGCTTGTGTTATATATACAGTTGATAAACGTGAAGTATGTAATAATATATGTGAATATACTTCGAACTTTGGCGACGCACGAACCCGTGACCGTGCCTGACGGTTTGGTTATGACGTTATCATATGTGACGAAGATTTCAACTTGTCACGTGATGCTATAGTTTGCTTATACAGTATCATCCTGAAAAGTAACTATATGTAATTTATTAAAGAAATTACAATGGCTTTAATGCGTTCGGAGATTGAAAGTTGAAGCCTTTGATATGATGTTAAGGTTAAGACACCAATTAAGCTTACGTCGATTAAATAATCTATGTGTTTAATAAGATAGAGAGAATAAAATTAATTGCCTTATCTACTTTGAATACTTTGCGAAAGTATAAAGTTAGTGTTAGTGGTAGATATAACCGACGGGGTCTCTTGGTACAACTACACCAATGCAAAAATCATTTTAGTCAAACTCACAGTATAATGATTTTTCATTGACTTATTACAGTACCTCTTTCCCACAATACTTAATACTTCGCACAATGGTTCCTACATTAAATGTTGCATACTAATGGCTGACTCAACTTTATATATTAACCACCAAAAAAATTTTGTTTTTTTTTTTTTTTACCTGAAGCGTCATCATTCACTGCTATAACTTAGTATTATGCGTTATAATATTATAATATTTATTATCAAAATAGTATTTCTAATTTAATATATGAGATCTTTTTATTAATGTAATTGGTTTCGACGTAACCCCTTTGGTGGTTTTTACTCCCTGCACCTCCTCTCGGTGGTCTTGGATTCTCCCGTCTGGTGGTTTTTACATTATTTGAGTGATTCCAAGGGAAAGCAAGACCTCAATAATATAATGTCAGATAGTTGAAGTTTGCTCTCTCATCACTTATAAAATTTTTTTTATTTTATTCAAGAGTTATTGATATACTGTATATACTATTGAATAGTTTCTATATAGTGTAATAATTATCCATAACGACAATAAATAAACTTGTAACATACTTTCTCTTTACATCCACGATTCGTGCACAATTAAAAAAATTTTTTTTATAAAATAGCATTCTTAAAAAGAATAAGAAAATAAAAAGTTTACCCCTCTACTTATGGTTTTTGTTGTGACGATAAAGATTACTACTTGTCGTGTAGGATTTTCCGCATCCTTCAACTTGACAAACATATGCTAAAAAAGGATTATTTGTTCAATACTTCTGTTGCCCTGAATGTAATAAGGTTAATAAAAGAATCATAGACCTACGTCTTTCTCCGGTATGAGAGTTATAGTGAATTTTTAATGCGCTCGGAGATTAAAATCCTTTTTTACAGAAGGTGCATCCGTGTTGTTTTATAGGAGTAGGAGTCGTGACTTCAGCAAGATACGTATTTAAGGTTAAAACACCTATCGAGTTCATTAAGCTTATGTCGGTTAGATGACCCTTTAGGACTGGGTATTTTAAATCATTAATATTGAAAACCCAGCCTTGACTATCGACATAGAAGATTTCTCCTTGACTATTAGTATGATATAATTTGTAAATAACTTGATTATTAATGATAGAGGTAATTAGAAAATAGTGATAAATGGGTATAAATAATCTTGTCTGAAACTTTGGATTTATATACTGTAAGTAAATGATAAACCACGTGCAAGATCCATCTCCATATATCTTTCTATTTTAATGTGATACAGGGTGTAATAACAGTGTGTAATACAGAGGTACAGTATTTT